AAGGAGCACTGGAGATCAGTTTCAGAAGATGCTAATAAAACGAGGTCGTCTGCAAACAGCAACCTTCTCGTCTTCACATCTACACTGATACAGTCATCGCCTTGGCTGCTCCTGACTATTTTATCCATGTACAACTCAAGCAGGAATGGAGGACGCAGCCTTGACGGAGACCAATCCTAACATTCCATGGTTACGATTTAACGCCATTTACTCTGTCGAAGCACTTGCTATCAGAACACAATGATTGGATGGCTCTAAGCAGCTGACCATCTATCCCGTATGCTCGATGGCATGACCACAGACTGTTGTGTTGAATTCGGTCGTAGCCATTTTCAAAGTTAGCGAAACTCGTACACAGACGGGCGTACTCCCACGATTTCTCCACAATCTGGGTCAGAGCAAATATATAGTCCAGAAGCGACACTGCTCTTCTTGTATCTTGAGGTCACTTATTTCACGGTACGTTCTTTCTAGTCTCGTTGCGTAGACTTTACCTGGGAGGCTCAATAACGTTATGCCCGTATAATTGGAGCATTCCTTGTGGTCTCCCTTCTTGACTACGGGTACAATAACTCCCGATCTCCAGTCCGCTTGTGTCTTTCCCGCAGTCATCGCAGTTTGACAGACACGTGTTAGCCAGCACATGCCTTGTTCGTCTAATGCCTTGAGCATCTCAAGGCGGATTTCATCGGTTTCAGCAGCCTTTCCATTTTTTCAACTTTTAACAGCTTGTTTAACTTAATCTACAGAGACAGTAATTATCGTTCTCTGCTGCTCTACAGGGGATTGTTCCTGCGGTTGCGCGAGGTTAAGGAGTTCCTCAAAGTACTCGCTCAATCGCTGAAAAATCTCACCATCCTTCGTATGAGGGTGTCTAGCCCTGTCCTCCAAAACTCTGAGACTGCCTTTCTTTTTATCTCGGAGCCGGCGGATGATCTGCCAGAATGCTTTGTTTGCCATATGGAAATTCGATTCCAAAACCTGCCCGAACTTCTTCCTGTTATCAGCTTTGGCTTTCGCCACTTGTTTCGCTGCCGCCATGTTTGTCTCGCCATTTCGCACGTGAGTAGAAGGTTCTTTACTATTATACGATTTTTTGAACTCTGTTTTCTTCTCTTTAGCTGGCAGTTGTACCTCTTGTGTGCACCAGGAAGATATTTTCTGTCCTCCAGACCATAGGCCAAGCCGTTTAATATCGCAGCACTCGGGGGGCAGCCTCGAGTTTGCCGCTCTTAAAGGAATACCACTCAGTTTCCACATCAGTTGTCATCACCGTGATCTGTTTGCAAACCGTCATGCGATGTTATTTGGAAATTTCGCTCTCGTGTCCACCGAAGATAATGTTTCGCACTTGATTCTCTGGTTGCTTCTGCCACCAGAGCTTCGTATTGTACTCTGTTTCTCACAGCGCAGTGTGCCAACAACAAGGTGATGATCGGTTGATTGCTTTGCGCCTCTAAAATTTAACCACCTGCTACTTATGGTGCTAATGCAATCGAAAATAGTGAATGCACTATAGAATTTGTTTCTGATCTATATGCTGATGACATCATTCCTCCATACGGAGGATAGTATTTTATTTGTTCATAAAAAGGATTTATCATCTGTATCTTCCATGACTGTTTCTTCTTTCGGATCGCGAGGCAGATGCGTCAGACAGTGGTTCTAACGTTTTTGCCTTTATAAAAATTTTTAATATATCAACTTTAAATTAAGCACAAGTCAGCTGCATTCTCTGAAATACCTTTTTCGTTTGCTGGTTTTATGCGGCAGGCCTTAAAATGGGCTAATGTTCACTGCATTGATAACGTTATTAAATTTGTTGCATCAATAATTTGGCATCAGACTCTAACTAGTGTGCCTGTCCTAGTATTACAGCTTATGCATATCATACGCTTTGCCGGATTTAATCGAGAGCAAGCAGTCTATATCTTGTTATTTTTCCGCTATTACTGAGTGAGAAACAATTAACCTGATGATCTAAATGGGCGTTCTTTTTCTGTAAATTTCGCCGCTGTCGATAAGTCGTTGATTTTGCAGTGCAGCATCTTTATTCAGAGCCGATTTTTATCTCTTAGCAGTAG